AGAGAGAGAGAGAGAGAGAGAGAGAGAGAGCTGGACTCTTGATCTTTGTTCTTTTTCCTTTTGTCTCTGTAGATTTACTGACAGTCACACTTCTTAACTTTATGTATTATTAGTGTTCATTGTTTAATAACCTATGAATCTTACCCAAGTCTTTTTGTCGTGACCTTGAGTCGGTCATGATCGTTAAAAGATCTGCATCAATTATAATGTCGAGATTTACTTTGTCATAATCAGGTCAGATTTAAAAAGCGGATTCAGTGAGGAAAGGTTTTGTAATGGCAACGATTTCATAAATATATACTAAAAATAAAACTTGATATTGTTTAAAAGTTTTTGAATCGGTGTAATTTCTGTCAAAAGAAACATCGTCAATAACAAATAGAATAATGTGAATAATGATCGGAAGCAGCCGTCGTCCGAACAGGTTCTGCAGCTTCATTTTCAGAGGAAGACGCTTCGTCCGTCTCCACGCGTGAAGAGAAGAATCAGCGTCTCGGATAAATAAATATAGAACCGTCGTTGATACATTACTATATTCCAGAGTTGTACTTTTTCCATTTGATGAGAAATGATTGATCTGACCTGATTTATCTGTTAATGAAGTCACTGTTTCCATTATTGAAAAACTGTGAATCTCTTCCCCCTCGCTCTAAAACACAGTTTCCTCATTAACATATTGGGAATCAACAGGATGTTGTCACATTAGTTTCCATTATTAAATGAAGCGTCTGGAGCTCAGTGACACTTTGTTGTCTGATGAAGCTGCAGGATGAGACTCACTCTGGGCCAGTCTGAGTGTTTGTGCTGTTGATGCTCCTGAACATGAAGTGCAGTATTTATGTGTCGACAGCAGGAAGTCCTCCTCCTCCTCCTCCTCCTGCTGCTGTCGCTTCATGTCACTATTTATACTCAACATCTGGCAGCTGCCTCCTGCGCCACACTCACAGCTGCTTTCACTCTTTCACTCTTTCAATCAGCTGCTTTCACTCTTTCACTCTTTCAATCAGCTGCTTTCATTCTTTCACTCTTTCAATCAGCTACTTTCATTCTTTCACTCTTTCAATCAGCTGCTTTCACTCTTTAAATCAGCTACTTTCACTCTTTCACTCTTTCAATCAGCTGCTTTCACTCTTTCACTCTTTCAATCAGCTACTTTCACTCTTTCACTCAGCTACTTTCACTCTTTCACTCTTTAAATCAGCTGCTTTCATTCTTTCACTCTTTCAATCAGCTGCTTTCACTCTTTCACTCTTTCAATCAGCTACTTTCATTCTTTCACTCTTTCACTCTTTCAATCAGTTACTTTCATTCTTTCACTCTTTAAATCAATTACTTTCATTCTTTCACTCTTTCAATCAGCTACTTTCACTCTTTCACTCTTTCAATCAGCTGCTTTCACTCTTTCATTCTCTCAATTAATTCATTTTGAAGAAAAAAAATTTGACAAATTTTTCAGAATTTACTTTTTTGTTGATTTCATTTGTCAGAAACGAAAACTGTCTTCCTTTTTTGTGAGTGAATGAAATAAATATTCTCACCATGAGGTTACACTGCCATCTGGAGGCCACAGAAACTAACTGCGTGTGGTTTCAACTCAGGAGACTTTGAAACTCATTGATATTTACTCTTGGATGTTTAAGAAGTTCTTACAATGAATCCTGAAACATAAATGTGACCCAGATTATAAAGTCTGATACATCGTAACATGAAACGGACTAAAACTAGGAAGTGGAACGCTAACATTAGTTCTTATTAGATAATTACATATCACAATGTATTTTATGTCGTAGCATTTCATAGAACAGTAATTATGATAACTTTCGAAAGACAAAAAAGAAATGGAGTCAAATAAGGACAGCAGACTCGGTGCAGTGCTGATAATCATGCTTTATTAAATCAATAATTGGAGAAAACTCAAGGAGGCTGCGAAAATAGTTCCATGCTACAACTCCAACTTCAATCACACCAAAACACAGAGCAACACGCAGGACCACGCTGGATTCTGTCCTGGGTTTAATGCAGCTCAGTTTGTTTCGGCTGCGCTGCATCTGCTTGACTGACAAGTGAACTAAAATCTAACACACAAAAAACGCTGCAGACCTCCGAGAGACAGCTCTGCCTCTGCAAACGAGCGCAGGAAGGACTCTTGTTTCACGTGATTGGCCAGGTTGGTGGTAACTGAGGAGCCCGAGCAAGAGGTCGTTTGCCAGAAGCAGAGCACAAAACAAAAAAGAAACATGTGCTCAGGGAGTGCAGGCCGCTCGCACTGTGAGCATGTCATGAAAATGGCGGTATGACATAATCCGTAAGAGTGCGAGGTCCAGTCGTCCTGCTTACAAGAGGGTAAATGCAAACAGGACTCAGGATCTCATACTCATGTTACAAAGCACCTGCACTGCTCTCACTCTGCAGCAGTGCATGTATAGTTTGTCTCTGATTGAGTTATCGTCAACAGGGAGCCTCTCTACCTGCTGAGGCAATCTTAAGACTTCAACTTATCGTTGAGGCACAGTTTAGTTTCTCAGTTTAACAGGGTATTCGTTTCTGATGAAACTTTCTCCTGTTAAACCACATTTAGTTTCATTTTGTTTCAGTTAATATTATTGTCATAAATAACAATACATACATTTCCCATAACCGTTAAATTCGGCTATATACATTATGTACATGTCACAGAAAAATGGATCAAAAATCCTAAGTCATAGTTATCCAATATGGCACATTTTATAACAACTTTAGACTTTAGTCTAGTTTGGCATAAATTAATGTCAAGTTTGGTACAAAAATAGTTAAGATATATATACAAGAACAGAAATTGAGATCTTTATCAAGTAGATTATTTTGCTCAATTAATAAATAAAAAGGTATGGAAGTAGAGAAAAGGGGAAGATTTTTTTTTACACTGATCGAATGCTAATGTGAACAGTTGCTGAGTCAGATCCGAGCTCATTGGACAGTTTGAGGGTATAGGTTCCTGCATCTTCCTCTTTAACCCTGGTGATGATGAGGGTGGTTAGATCCTCCGTCGTCTCTATGTGGAAGCGTCCACCAGCAGTCACCTCGATGGTTTTGCCACCGCGGGACCACTCGATGTGTTTGGCGTCACCGGAGAAGGCACAGGTGACTGTCAGGACTTTGCCCGGCTCGATGCTGATGTCCTCCGGCAGAGCCTCGATTCTGGGCGCAGAACCTGTGAACCAAAGTGCACAATACATCAGTGCCCAGTTTGTTTGTTATTCTTTTGTCAAAACAACATTTCTCTTGTAAAAATTCAAATTCAAACTAAATTTACGAGGATTAAAGTTGTTTGATAGATCAAACGATAGTGTCTCACCGATTGCTCTGAACGAAGACCCCTCGGTGAGGCTGCTGGAGCTCAGTGCGTACGTCTCAGATGCGACCGTGGACATGCTGGACATGGACATGGTCTCAAACTTCATCTCAGCTGCCATGCTGCTGAAGGAGCTGGACTCCATCATGGATGACATCATGGCTTGCTGGGTGGAGGAAGAAAACGACGACTCTTCCATTGTGTGGATTTCTTTCTTCATCATGGATGAGCTCATGGATGCTGAAGATTCCTTGTGACTCATCATCGATGATCCTGTTTTAAGTAAAGATGGAGACAGTTAAAATGTGGATCTTCATAAGAAATTCAAATTGGACAAAACGTTCTTTGAGTTGATGTTCTCACCTTTAAGAGCCACTTGCTGCTCACGATAGGCTGTGATCTTCATGCGTATGGACTGGAACACCTGTCCAGTGAAGGAAAAGGAGGATTTGGATACTCCTCCCTCTGATGTCATCTCACAGGTGTACTCTCCCTGATCGCTGTCCGCAAGATTGTGGATTACAAGGCTGCAGGAGCCCTCAGAGTATTGCATCTCAAGGTGACTGCTCTGCGAAAGTCTCCTCCCGTTGACGTACCACACCACCTCTCTGACACTCTTCTCACAGACACAGGACATCCTGACTGAGCCCTCACAGGCTTCAGCTGTTAGTTGACTCAGAACCTTGGGAGGTTTCGGGATTGGGGATTTGACAGGGGGTGGAGACACAACCCTCTTAGGGGACATGATCGGAGGAGGAGACTTCATCCTAGGAGGTGATTTGATTCCCTCTGGCTCAGGGGACTTTAACACCCTGGGCGATTTGATCCCTGTCGGTTCTGGGGACTTGATGCCTTTCGGTGTTTTTATTCCAGCAGGTTCTGGGGACTTCATTCCTTTTGGTGTTTTGAGTCCTGGGAGTTCTGGAGATTTGACACCACGAGGGGATTTGAGTTCCACAGATTCAGGTGACTTCACTCTCTCTGGAGACTTAATTTGTGTTGGTGACTTGAGTCTGGGTTCTGGGGATTTTATACCACGTGGTGACTTAACTCCCTCAGGTTCAGGAGATTTGACAGTTGGAGCTGGTGATTTTAAGCTGGGTGCTGGAGAGGTTGCAGATGGCACAGGAGACTTGACACTCCTAGGAGACTTAATTCCATCTGGTTCAGGAGACTTCACACTCGGAGTAGGAGATGTTGCACATGGTACAGGGGATTTGACACTTGGTGTTGGTGATTTAATTGAAGGCACGGGGGATGTAACACTGGGTTCAGGTGACTTTACACTGGGAACAGGGGATGTTATGGAGGGAGCAGGTGATGTGACTGAAGGCACTGGAGACTTTACACTAGGACATGGTGACTCTACAGATGGCTCAGGGGATTTGACAGCCTTAACTTCTACTTTGGGAGCTGCTCTGCGAATGGTTAAAGTGAAGTGAGCCTCCTGTCTGCCTGCCGAGTTCTCTACCACCACCGTGTAACTGCCCTCGTCTGAAGTCATCACAGAGGAAACCTCCAGGTTGGACTTGTATTGAGTTGTGGTGACCTGGACACGGTGAGACGCAACAAGAGTTCTGCTCTCGTGCATCCATGAAACACTGGGTGCAGGCTCCCCATCAATATCACAGGAGAATCTGGCCGTCTCTCCCTCTTCAATCGTCACAGACTGAGGCTTGGTGAGGATCCTAGCCGGAAGAGAAGGCTTCACCTTTTGGACTGAAGCTTCCTTAGCTACGGCAGCAGAGGATGACTTAAGTTTGGATTCAGAAGTGGAGTGCTTCCCAGTAAGAGAAAATGTGTCTGATGAGTAGGAGGAAGCAGATGACAGGTATTCAGCCGAGGCGTATTTGATAGATGAATCATACCTCTCAGATGAGGCTGCATATCTTTCACGAGTAGCAACCTCATGTGTCTCGGTCAACTTAGACTTGCTCTCCTCCACTTCAAAGTGGGTCTGGGAGGCATAGCCAGTTTTAAAGTGTGTGGTGTGATAGTGGTCAATACGAGTTACTTCAGGGACAAATGCTTTGGTAACTTCCTCATCTTTGCGGCGAGAGGAGAAGGTGGTGTATCCTCCACCTGACACATCCAGTGTGGCATAGTCTGATGCCTCACCCTTAGAGTTGGAGCAGACACAACGGTATGTGCCACTGTCATCTTCCTGGCAGTCCAGGATACCGATGGACAAAACACCACTCATGTTGGTGAATACATATTTCTCACTACTTTCAGAGATTGCAGTTCCATTATGGAACCACTTGATCTCACCCTCTGGCTTGGCTTGCATGTTCAGCGTGAATCTGGTGTCTTGGCCAATCGGTATGCGATGAGAACGCATTCTGACGGTCACACGGGGAGCATGATCAAGGCTGAAAGGTGTCTGGCTGACAACTTGATATTTTCTCTCTGATTTCAGAGCAGCCTTTCTGGCCTCATAGCGGGACATGATGTCAAAGCGGGCAGATCTCTCAAACCTGGAGGAGGAGCGGGAAGACCTCTCAACTGATCTGATGGGGCTGGGAGAGCGGGGACGAGTCCTCTCTGGGGTGGGGGACCTCCTCCCCACAATCTCTCCCTCTACTTCCACAGGTGGCCTGGTCCGAGATGGTCTGATCAGCTCTGCGACAGGACGCATCAGCTCAATGTATGTGGGAGACAATGATCTTCTCCTCCTCATGAACTGAGAAACAGTACGCTTCTTCTTCTCAACAACTTCAACAGACTCCTGCCTGAACTCCTGTCTCCTCTCTTCACGTTCCATGGCACGCCGCTCTATGCGGACAGGGCTGCCAGCAGGAGATGCAGAAAAACCGAGCTCCAGTTCATCCTCCAGCATCATTTTCTCCTCCTCTGTTCTCCTCATGGTGAGGTAGTCGTCCACAGGCATCAGAAGCTCCTCGTCGCTCAGGTCTGCCAGGGATCTCCTCCTCGATTTGAAGGAAACCTCAGATTCAGGGGAGGGTGAACGGCGTGCAGGCCTGACAGTCTCCAGATCATCCAGGCTGAGTTTTGGAATACGCCATCTAGGCCTGTACTGGTCAGTAATTCGGGGAAGGGGCATGACATAAAACTGTTCCCACCTAGACAAGCGAATACGTCTCTGTCTCTTCTGCACAATCCTTTCCATCCTCTCTGGAATCTCATACTGGTCTCTCAGCTTTCTGTACCACTTCATATCAGAGAGAGGTACAAACTGTTTGATGGCCTTGTCTTCATCCAAAACCCGAGGATCGTGAACTAATGGCTCAGGCATCTCATATGGCATGAAGATCCTCCTTTCCTCCTCCAGCTTCTTGGTATCAGACTTCTCCACTGTGATGTCAAACTCACCTTCAATGTTCTTGGTACTCACTGCAGGCTTGTACATCTCTGCAGCAAATTTGAGGGCCTCCTGGGCTGTTGGGTTGAAAGGTACAAGCTCCTCAGTGGCAACAATTCGTTGAGCCATCTTGTTCGTCTTTTCAATTTCTTTCTGTATGTGTCTGTATTTTTCCTCCTCGCTCTTATACTCTCTCCTGGTATAGGTCAGACGGTCGACCTTCAGTGTAGCCTGGCAGCTTGCAGAGCCAGCTGAGTTGGTTGCAGTAACCTTGTACAAACCAGAGTCCTCAAGCAGTGTGTCTCTGACATGTAGGACATGGTAATCAACATCTTCCTGTATGACAACAACCTTAGGACCAAACTGTAGTGGTTGACCGTCCTTTTCCCATTTCAGAGTAGGACTTGGGATTCCTGAGACTCTGAGTTCGAAATGGACACTATGCCCTTCTATGCACTCCACATTAGCCAAGAGACGTTTGAACATGGGCCTCATTGTTTCCTCCATCACAGGATGAGGTGTCACAGTGAGGCGAGCCTTGCAGCTGTCTTCTCCAAACTTGTTGTGGGCCATGACTGTGTATTCAGCATCATCGTTCATGTCCAGGTTGTGGATCATTAGCTGGTACAGACCCTTATCACTGGTGAATGTGTACTTGCTGTCGTCGTCGCCTGGCCTGATTCTCTCTCCATTCTTAAGCCATGCTACATGAGGCTCCGGGTGCACAGTAATAGTGACACCAAAGCGGACATCTTCGCCAATGTAGGCAGCGCTATTGTACAGAGGCAAAGTAAACTCTGGTGGTCTCTGCAGGAGTTTAGTCTTGTCAACTCTCTTCCTCAGTTTCTTGATGGAGCGGCTTACAAAGTGCTCTCTGATGCTTCTTACTGTATCAACAAAAAGCTCTCCATAAGCACTGTCCTCTCCATCGTCACTCACCACCTTGCATCTGTACACACCATCATCACTGTCTTCAATGTCCTTAACATAAATGCTAGCAAAACCATTAGTGTAAGTGATCTCATACTTGGGGCTTGGGTGTAGCTGACGGTTTCCGAAGTACCATGACACCTGTGTACTCTTGTCATAGTTGGCAATGCTACAAGTGAATCTGACATGGCCGCCTTCCTCAGCTGAGCCATGCATGACTGGACCAGCACGAAGGCCATGGTACTCGGTGCCAATCTTCACTTTACCCACAGCTAATCCTCTCTGGTTTTTGAAGGCGCCACCGTAAGCAACACGAGCTGCCGATACGATAGTGTCCATCCTCTTCACAAAGGTCTGGTAGTACCTTCTGTGTCTCAGTGTCCTAATGACCTTGTTGCTGACATGCTCAATCTTCATCTTGAGCCATGGGTGCTCCAAAGCCTCATGGGCGGTCATACGGAGCTTCATGTCCTTGACTAAAAGTCTGTCCACAAAGTCCATGGCCTCCAGGCTGATGTCCTTAAATGCTTCACTATCAAAGATAAACTCACAGTTGGAGATGTTCTCAATCATCTTCGTAGTTGACTCTGCTGCAAATGGATTAAGGCCACTGAGCAAAACATAGGCCATAACACCAACAGACCACATATCAGTGGCTGTTGTGACTAAGTCATGGCGGTGGACCTCTGGGGCACAGTACTCTGGAGCTGAGAACAGCATTCTGATGTTTTCTCCTGGCACTAGCAGCCGAGCTTGGCCCATCTCAATAATCTTTATAGTGGTGCTTCTCCTTGTAGAATAGACAATGTTGTCTGGGCGGACATCAAAGTGACCGAAGTTGCTGCTATGCAAGAACTTGAGGGAAGAGCAGACTTGCCTCAGGTAGCGGACAATCTCCTGCTCCGTGAGCTCAAAGTTGCTGGTTCCAAGGCGCTCAAAGATGTCAACTCCAGAAATGAATTCAAAGATCAGGATAATTTCTTCCATACTTTCAAAGTATTCATGCAGGTGAATTACATTCTTGTGCCTTGCTATGTTGAGGGCCTCAATTTCCCTAAGAACCAACTCCCGGTCAGTTCCTTTGACCTTGATGAACTTGGCCATGAAGGTCTTCTTAGTAGCAATCTCAACGCAGCGGTGGACTGCTCCAAACTGGCAGCGAGCAAGCTCCTCAGAGATGATGTACTTGGAGGACAACTCCTTCACCTTGTAGAATAGAGCTTCGTCCTTGGTGATCTCTCTGGCTTCATCCACTTCCTCATCATAATTCCTAATCACAGACTTGTCTTCTTTTGTAGTGATGGGCTCAGTTGGCACAGAAGGAGGACTCAGACCAAACCCGTTCTCAGCAATGACACGGAACTGGTATTTGGTCTTTCCAAATATGTTGATGATGGTGATGCTACAGTCGGTGGTCTGTCCAGCACGGATCCACCTGTCAGCAGTGGTGGGACACTTCTCCACAATGTAGCCAATAATGTCACAACCCCCGTCATTGGCAGGAGGCTCCCAGGTCATAGTGATGGAATCCCGAGTAATATCACTGACCACGAGTCCCTTTGGAGCTTCAGGTATGTCAGCCACATTCACCTCGATGGTTTGCTTGTCCATTCCAAACCTATTCTTTGCAGTAATAATGTAATAGCCATTATCTCTCCTCTGCACTCCCTTATGGAAGACCAGGGAGGTGAAAGACCTGGTGGTGATGACTTGGTGGTGAGGAGAGTTGGAGAGGATCTCCTGGCCCTTCTGCCAAATGATTGCTGGCTCAGGCTTGCCAGTGATGGGGATCTTGATGGTGATCTGATCTCCACAGACAGCGTGGACTGCCCCCATTCCCTGGAGCTCTTTGGGCAGGTGGATTTTAGCAGGAACTGGAATTAGATTTACAAAAAATATAACATTAATTTGGGTGTTGTTATAATTTCTATTTCAGGAATAACAACTGGAAACAATACAACCAGGTGGATTCACCAACGGTACTTCATTTGTCTAAAATCATTTCATTACCTTCCACTTCCAGGTTGGCTGTTGTAGAGATAGATCCTGAGGGGTTGGTTGCCCTGACTTGATAAACCGTGGCATCATTCTCATCAGCAGATGTGATGACAAGCTGGTAGTAGCCTCCCTTGAACTCCTGAGCTTTGATCTTGGTACCATCTGCCAGAACTTCCTTTCCACTGCGGTACCATTTGACCACAGGCTTTGGATGTCCCACCACCTTGTAGGAGAAATAATCCAGTTAGATACTGTACAGAAAACAAGTCTCGTCTCTTTCAGCAGGAACTGGAACATATTTAGACTTTCACAGATGTAGATGCTATTTGTAAATATTTGAAAGGAAACATGTAATTAAATGTATAAAGTACCTTAGTGACAAAGGTAGCATTGGCTTGGTATTTGACGTTCATGTCCCTGATCTCCTCCCTGAATGCAGGAGCGCGAGGAGACTGGTCAGACTTCGGGATGATTGCCGCAGAGGTCTCGCTCCAGCCGCTCTCACCACCCATGTTCTCACACTTGACACGGAACTCATACTCGAATCCCTCAATCAAGCCCGTGACCTCGTAACTGGTCTCCATGATCTTCTTGTTGGTAACTGAAATCCACTTGTTCTGCTTCTTCTCACGTTTCTCCAGATAGTAGTTTGAAATTTTAGCTCCACCATCACTGCTTGGAGGCTTCCAGCAGACAACACAGGAGTCCTTGGCGGAGCTGATGATGAAGGGCTGCTGTGGGATGCCCGGTTTTTCTGAGAAACAAACAGAGAATGTTATTGTAGTGCTCTACGTATCTGTAGTTAGACCTGCATTGTAGATACAGAAGCCAAAAGTGGCAAACATGACAGGACTTACCGAATGGACTCTTAATGATGACAACTGATGGGATTTCCAGAGCCTCGCTGACTCCGTACTGGTTCTGGGCAGAGACTCTGAAGTAGTACCCGGCATTTTCTATCAGGTTGGGGACACGGCAGGTGGTGCCAGAGACTGAGGAGGACACCAGGTGCCACTGCTCACCCTCTTTGGCTTCACGCTTCTCCACAATGTAGTTTGAGATCATGGAACCTCCATCATCCTTGGGAGCTTTCCAGCTGATAACAACTGAGCTCTTTAGCAGAGCATCAATAACCAATGGACCCTCAGGGATGCATGGTTTATCTGGATAAAACCATAAGAAGGAGTCAGTAACAACACTTTCCAAACACATAAATAAATCTAGGAATAGGTATTTATTGGCTGAAACTAGCTACAAATCATATGTATAACTATTAATGTTTAGCTACAAATATTTACTGAGACACAGAGATCTTTTTTATTTAAAAAGTACTAACTACAGAGTGAGGATTTTCATTATTATAGAATGATATCTTTTGGACATCTTTTTCTTGATTACCTTGAATTTCAACACGCAGAACAGTGTCAATGGTTCCAAACCCATTGCTGAGTTGAACCTTATAGCGGCCGGCATTTGTCTTTCTCTGGACGTTCCTCACAACCAGGTGGGTGTAGCTTTCTGTGTTTTCAATGATCACATTTTCTGATGAATTCAGAGGCTTCTTGCCATAGAACCACATGATCTGGGGGATGGGGCGCCCAATGTAGACGACATGCAGGCGGAGACTGGTGCCAGCTCCAGCAAAGTACTTCTCCTTCAGAGGGAACCCAGGATGGAACTGAGGAGCTGCTTGAAGACGCAGTTTGCCGCTGGTTTCAATCTCTCCGGCCTCATTGATGGCCCTGCAGGTATACACGCCCTCGTCTTCCTGCTCATCTGTCAGGATACTGAGGGAGTGGTTACGGCCATCTGAGCTCATCTTGTACTTGCGGCTCTGAATCAGTTCCTTTCCGAAGCGGTACCACTTGATCTCAGGCAGAGGTCTGCCAATAATGCCACAGGTCAGACTGCCCAACTCACCAAGTTTGGTGGTAACATCTTGGATCCCTTCCTTCAAAGCTGGAGCTTCACCAACTGCAGAAACATCAGCAAAGTTTCATTAATCTACATTCATTATTGTCTTTGCTGTAAAATATACGTAATATTCATTCATTCCTGATATTGTTACCTCAAGATTTATTTTTGTACTTTATAAAGTCCCAGGTCACATTAAAAATTCTGTTTGATGAAATCTAAAATCTGTATTGGCTCACCACTCAGTTTAGTCTTGATGCCCATAGGTGTGCGACGAGGTCGGCTGAATCCAGTCTCATTCTCAGCAAAGATTCTAAACTCGTACTCGGTGGCCTCCATTAATCCACCCATGGTGAACTGACGATCCTTGGAGCGCTCTTTGTTGCATTTCTTCCAGGCACTTTCTCCAGCCTGCCTGAACTCAATCCAGTAGCCTAGAATCTCCTTGCCTCCGTCATGCTCAGGCCTGAGCCAGTGGATGGTGATGCAGTCTTTGGTGATGGAGATGATGTCGATCTCTCCTGGCTGGCTGGGTTTGTCTATAAGGAGAAGACAAAAGTTGCTTAAAAGTTATAGAGGGACTAAATGATGGTATTGTACATTTGTACAATAGCTGTAAAATCAGTTTGATTAGTTCTATACATGTATATATGTGTGACATAGATTAAAAGAGCCCCACACGTTTCCTTTAAATGTCATTGACATTCAACATGAACTCACCAAATGGATCTTTGCAGACCAACGACTCTGAAGCAGGACCAGGTTCACTTTGCCCAATGTCGTTCTGAGCCACTACTCTGAACATGTACTCTGCATCAGGAATGAGACCAGTCACATTGTACATGGTGGTGGTGATGTGGGTCTTGTTATGGCGGACCCACTTCTCTGTCGACACCTCCCTCCTTTCCACATAGTATCCTGTGATGCGAGAGCCTCCATCATCCCGAGGACGGGCCCAGGACAAAGACACTGTAGACTTGGTCACGTCCATAATCTCAGGTGGGTTGCTAGGAGGTTCTGGTGGGCCTAGAGGAGAAACCTATTGTCAGTAAAATCAATACGTACAACACTAACTGCATCACAATAATGAAACATTATACTCACAAAGTGGTGTCTTAGGTGTGACAGACTCATCAGACTTGAGAGATCTGCTGACACCGAACTGGTTCTCAGCAGAAACCTTGAAGTGATACTCCACATTTTCCTTCAGGCCTTTCACCACCAGAGAATTCTCGATTACCCGGGAGTCCACTGTACACCAGGCAGCCTTGGGTACCTCACGCCTTTCCACGATGTATCCTAGGATGTCAGAACCGCCATCATCTGAAGGTGGTCTCCAGCTAACCCGCAAGGATCTAGCTTGAATGTCATCAAATTCCAGAGGGCCCTCTGGGGAATCAGGGCGTCCAATCACTTTAACCTGGAGGAGGAGATTTAAAGACCGTTAGGTTCCCACTATTGCAAGAAATTGTATTTTTAAATTATCAATATTTAAGTGCATTTCTCTGAAGTCATGTTTTAGCAAAATATTACAGGCTAGTCACCTTGATGTACACGGCCTTCCTGCCACATTTGTTCTCCAGCACTAGGTCGTAGGTACCGGTGTCGTCTTTGTGCGCCTCTTTGATGACCAACTCGGTGATGTCATCGTGGGTGGCGATCATGGCTCGATGGGAGATGTCCCGACCATCCTTGGTCCACTTACATGTAGGGATGGGTTTACCCTTGATGGCCACAGACAGATGGATGACTCCACCCTGCCGCACTACGTAGCCCTCCTCATATTTACGATCAAGCTCATAGTTGGGATAATCTGAGGATGACACAAATCAGGGTATTGTCAATTACAGATTTAGGTAAGAGAGAGAGAGATGCATTTTATATTTACGAGATAAAAATATTTGTTTTGTGAATTATGATTTGTTGTTCTCCTACCCAGCATCTCCTGGACTTTAACAACTCCTGGAATCTCTGCAGGCTCTCCGGAACCACCAGCATTGCAAGCGATGACCCTGAACTTGTACTCAGCACCCTGGGGCATGTGGGTGAGAGTGTACTCGCACATCTTGGTGGGTGTGGTGTTGCACAATGTCCATTCCACCTGGTCCACCTTCTGCATCTCGATAAAGTAGCCAGTAATCACAGCACCACCCTCCTCTTCAGGTGGCAACCAGGCCAGAGAGACTGAAGTCCTGGTGCTGTCAGTGACTCTAGGTTGAACTGGAGCTCCTGGAGGCTCTGTTCAACAACACAGTAAAAAAACTGACTTCAGACTTATGAGATTGATAAAAAAATAAGTGGTGGTGGCTTTATCATTACAATTGTACAGTAGTTACACACTGAGTTTTATCACGTACCAATGGGATCCATGGCGACAGTAATGACAGAGCTCTCGCTGGGTTTCCCAGCTCCTCTCGAGTTGATGGCAGTGACACGGTATTCATACTCCAGGCCCTCGATCAGGCCGGAGGAGCGGTACCTGGTCATGGTGACAGGGTTCTTGTTGATCTTCATCCACCTGTCAGAATGGGGCTCCTTACGTTCAATTATGTAGCCGGCAATGGTGGAGCCACCATTGTCCTCAGGTGGTTGCCAGGTCAGGGTCATACCCTCGTGGGTTACATCAAGCACATTTGGCCTGCTTGGAGGTCCAGGGATGGCTAAACAGGAAAAACAGATGAATTACTGATAACAGAAAATACAAGACAGTTGGATAGAAGATTCCATGAAGATGTAGAAGTATGATGATGAAGTGCGATGAAAGGAAGAATGTTAAATATATATATATAAATAAGTATTTTTTCTGGTAATAGGCTCAGAAATATGTGGCTCAATTTTCTTTAGTCTGGTAATAATGATCAAGAAAGTTTATTATGATGCTGGTAAAGAAAAAACAGCTTGGATTACATGTTTTTGTGACCGTATAGTTCACTGTGTTCAAGTGTCACTATATGGTTGGGATGGGGTCAATAATATATCAGTTGGTCATTGCTACCAGCTGGTTAAAAGAGTTGTTCCTAAACGGTTGTTATGGTAGAACAAGTGGTTCAAAGAAGTTTGGAAGAAACAGCAGCAGAGATTGTTTCACTAATAATAGTATATCATAAAGACGATATACTGTACATAGAGTAGAGTAACACAACACTTCAGATGGGAAGAGAACTTACTCTTGGCGCTCTTGCACTCCACCACCTCAGACTGCAGGAAGCCACCAACACCAAAGCGATTCATGGCTGCAACACGGAACACATACTCTGTTCCCTCTGTGAGTCTGGTGAACTTGAAGCAGGGCCGGGTCACTGACTCTGAGATGGTGGACCAGCCTGGCCGGTGGGCATCACGCTGCTCCACCACGTAGCCACTGACATTGGCCCCACCGTCCTTCTCTGGAAGTTCCCAGCTGACGGTCACTGAAATACCGTCAGTCTCCTCAATCTTCATTGGACCAACTGGGATTCCAGGTTTGTCTGGATGGACACAAGGAAGTGGCTGCTTATAACCTTTGTCTTTGTTTGCATATCACTAGAGATGTACTTGATACACAAAATTGCTGATGACATGTGATTTTGTAAACTGACTTATTAAGGGTACATTTAATCTGTAAAATTGCATTTCGTCTAATTCATGTATGACCTTATTTGTCTGCAGAAAGCCGCCTTACCAAGTATGATGACCTTGATGACCTCTGTTGCCATGCCAATGGCATTCTTAACCTGCAGCGTGTAGTCTCCCGTGTCACTGATTGTGGTATCACGTATGACAAGGTGGGTATATTTGCCGTTGCTGTCAATTTTGATGCGGTCCAGGCTGTCCTTCAACTTGGCACCACCGAAGAACCAGGAGCATTCAGGCTGTGGCTTAGCTTTTATCGGGATGTTAAAGTCGATGGGTTTGCCACGGTGCACATGGACTATTTTCTGAGGGATGCTGGTCAGGTCAATCTTGGGCATCACTGGAATATACAGAGATATGTGATGTATTCATTGTATTTTAGGGATTTATGTGAATTTTTAATTTTTTGGAATGGTTAAAAGGGATTATGGATGTGTTCATGATTTCTTACCCTTAATCTCTTGAATTGTGATCGGAGTTACAATGTCCATGGGCTCACTGGCTCCCCTGCTGTTGGTGGCTCTGATTCTGAAAAGGTACTGGTCATTCTCCATCAAGGATTGGATGGTGTGCTGGGACACTGACGCCTTGACTGTCGCCACGGCAGTCCACCTGTCTAGGCCCACTTTGCAGGCCTCGATGACGTAACCTGTCAGCCTGCTGCCGCCATCGTGCACTGGCTTCTCCCAGAGCAGTGTGACTGAGGACTTAGTGACATCAACCATCTGGAGGCTCAAAGGCACTGATGGCACCTCGCACACCAGCACAGCCTCAGACGTGTCGCACGGCTCACCGACGCCATAGATGTTCTCTGGCAGGACTCTGAAGAAGTAGTGCACTCCCTCCTCCAGGCCAGTGATCCTGAACAGGGTCTTTCTACACTCAGTGGTGATGGTCTTGTATGACTTCATGTTGGCTTCACGCTTCTCTATAATGTAGTTGCTGACATGAGCACCACCATCAATGCTCGGGACATCCCAGGTGATCACAACTGACTCCTTGGTGTAGTCCTTCACCTTCACTGAACCTGGAGGACCAGGGGTGTCTGCAGGAAAGAGGGGGATGAAGAAGAGAAGATATTATTGTTTACAGTTGAGCTGAGGAAACATTTACACTTTAATTCAGCGTGAAATAATGAGTATGTGTGCAAACATATCTGCATGCGCTGCCCAGAGTGGCCGCAGTTGCAGCAGCTCTTGCACAAGTTTAGCGTTTTTTTCACTTTTTTGTAGTTTATAGTTAAGTTTTTTAATTTATTCTTCAGTGTAGTACTATAGAAACAACAGTTGCACTTTGCACTTTGGGCACCATAGTTGCCGCGTTCGCTCTACAACTCTCCGTCAACTTTAAAAACTCYGTGACCGGACGCCCCGTGAAGCAGCCATGGCCGCTATTGTTTACACCAGGGATCAGCTGTTGGCGCTCCGTAACGCAGCGGTGCTGCCCCAGGAGAGACCCGACGTCCCCCAGGAGCTGAGGAGGAGAAGACGGGGGACTCGTGCTGGCGCCCGACGTCGTGCCATGAGAAGCCGGTACAGACCTGTCCTCCCGTCCATCATTATGGGAAATGTGAGATCTCTTCCCAATAAGATGGATGAACTAACGGCGCTGGCCCGGCACCAGAGGGAATATCGGGAGTGCAGCATCATGCTGTTCACGGAGACATGGCTGAACTCATTGACTCCGGATTCACATGTTTCACTGGGTGGATTTAATCTACATCGGGCCGACAGGACAGAGGAGAGCGGTAAGAGGAAAGGAGGAGGGCTGGCTGTGTTTGTGAATGACAGATGGTGTAAGACTGGACATACCACTGTTAAAGAACAACTCTG